CATCAACTTGGCAATTGGCACTTGTACTCATACAAGCAAATCTAAAGGTGGGGTTGACAACTCTTTGCGGGAAAACAAACATATTTTTTCTCCACTCCATTCCATTTTATCAAATTTAAGTTTCAAAATCCTTGATTTTAAAAAAAACAAACAAAAGTAAGTAGGAATGAGAGTGGCATAGGATGAGTAGGTTTGTTAATTTGTTTTTTTCTTCTTCTTTTTGGTGCAGAAAAAAAGAAAAGAAAACAAAGTAGGTTTGTGTTTTGCACTTTACCCCATAACATAAAACCCTAGTAACGAAAACCAATAGTAAATTAGTTTTAGTAATCTAAACAAGAAAATGAAAAAACAAAATTCGGAAAAGCACTTGGTATTAACAGCATTGCAATAACAGTAAATGCTTCGACATTGAACTGTGATTGGCTGACTGCATAATTTGGAGCCTAAAAAAAGCACTTATCAAGTAAAGCACTTGATTTTGTTGAAGCTTTTACTAAAATAAGCAAAGAAATCGTCAAGAAGAAAAACGACAGCGAAGCCTAAAAGCCTCATACCATTCCCACCCTATCCCAATCCAATTCACAAGCAAACCGATCCAAGCGAGGGAAGTGAAAAATCAAAATTGGTGGGTCCTGAACGGACCTCAAACTCCAGACTTAAATTTAGTTAATTGACAGAATTATTATAGTAGAGATACGTTAAGGTGGGCAACATAAATTTTATTTTTATTTTATTTTATATTTTAAAATAAGTCCGAGACTTCCGTGAGGGATTTTAAGGCTCCGCCAGTGCCCGCGCCTATCGGCATCTTCCATTTTAAAATTGAATGCCAAATCCTATCTGTGTCTCTCTCTCCATTATATATATAACCTTCCCACAATTCAACTCTCCTACTCATTCCTCAACTTCAAAATCTTAAGGAAAGAAAATACCATTTGCATTTGCACCCACCTAACATTTTTCTTTCTTGGTCCCTCCAAAATTTGATAATCTTCTCTCTCTCGTCCTTTTTCTCATCACCCACCCACCACCACCACCATTCCAACTTTTCTCTCTCTCTCTCCCTATCTTTTTCTCATCTCCCAAACAACCATTTTTCTCTCTCTAGAAAATATTAACTAATCTTTGCCTCTTGCCTACTATATATACCACCTCTCACCACATCACTTAAAAATATACTTGCCCACCACCTTTTCTCTCGTTGCTTTGACAACTCTCAATCTCTCTCTCTATATACCTTTTTTCTCTTTGGTGTCTCTCTCTCCCGAAACACAATCCTAGATTTGGGTTTTCTTTGTCCCCTCTGCAACCAAACCAAACCAAACCCACTCTTCATTTTTCTCATTGGTTCACAATGGATAACAGCATCGACCACAATAGGAAACGAGCCCGATATGACTCGGACGACCCAGAAACAAAGCATATCCAACCCGAGTCCAAACTCGTTCGAGTCGACTCGAGTCACTCAGTTGCCTGCTCGCCCGAGTCGGCTTCCACCCTGTTCGACTCGACCAACTCGGAGGTGAACTCGGACGAGTCGTTGAGTCCGCAGCCTGTCCGGGTCGACTCGGACGAGTTGGTTATAGAGCCGGAGGAGGTTAAGCTGATCCAAGACGACCTCCTCAACATCCTGGACGACTCGGACGCCGTTACCGACCGTGACCCGGCGATCCAGGACCTTGACTCGGTGATTAAAAGCTTCGAGGAAGAGATACAGGTTGCGGCATTTCCCGTGTCCGAAACGACGTCGTCTCCAGGCGGGTCGTCGCAGCCGGAACTAGGTTACCTTCTAGAGGCTTCTGATGACGAACTCGGCCTCCCTCCGACCAATGGAGGAAGCGAGGACGGAAAGTTGGAGGCCGCTGATTTTACGTCGAGTGGTTCGGAGGCGGTTGGATTGGACGGGATGCTAGGGTTTGAGAACGACATCATTCCGAATTACGACTCGTTTGAGTTGGGAATTGGTGGCGACTGTAACTTGAACAACAATTATAATGGCGGGGCGGAGTACGTGGCATTAGGTGGGTTGTTTGATTACTCGGATGGCGGCGTTTCGGATGTTTCGTGGCGAACCGAATCGCTCTCTGCTCTGTAGGAACGTTTCGGCGGCGAGGCGGTGGGGGGTGTTTTTGTTTACAACCCCGGACCGCTTTGTACCAGGGTACATGATAGACGCGTAGCGGTTTTTGTTTATTTCCCCGGACCGCTTTGTACCAGGGTACATGATAGACGCGTAGCTGTTTAGATGATAGGATTGTAAACTTGACACAATGTAAAAGACAGAGAACATGGAAAATTTTGAATTTGAACCCAACATGTTGATATTTGTTGCTTCTGCCCCTTAAAAAAAAGTTGATATTTGTTGGTTGCTAAATTGACATTCGTTTTAAATTTTTGGGTTTGGGGTTGGATTCAAAAACAGAAAACAGAGGGAACAGAAAAGGGGGGAAGGTGGGTGGATCTTTTACTTTTCAATTACTAATACAGAAATTTCAATGCTTCAAGCAGAGATTACAAACCAACTAGGGAGTAATGTTTTTTGGGTTTATATTATCTCTCGTCAGTGGATTTTGAACAATATGTAATCACTGAATAATACATTATTCAAATGATTTAATGTATATGTCTTTGCTTCTAAAATAATATTGATGATATTCAATGTTTGTGTTAAGGTGAGATTTCGATATCCCAATTGATAGACGACTTTTCACACATTTCTTGTATACAAAATTATGATTATGTATTGAATAAATTTTTCATGTCTAATTTCACGAGATGGAAATGAATTGTTCGGGAACACTTGGAAATAAGTACGAGAGAATGTCATTTTCCCCTCATTTTCATGTTTGGTTTGTACATAATAAATGAAATATTTCTATTTTTTCAACAATACCGTTGACATTAATAAAAAAAGAAAAGAGACATTAAATGCTTTCCCAAGGGTATGAAATTTCCCAATGCGTGGGGAATCCATATTGCATTCTCAGAAATGCACTTACTAAACATAAGAATGCAATTTCAAATCCATTCATAAGCTCCTAAATCTTGAATCAAATGTGCCCTTATTATTTAGTATATAGAACAGTCCCTTAGAGTTTTGATTTTAAAATTTATTCAATCCATAATTTAAAAATTAAAATTTTAGCCCTAAGCAATAATTTCAGTAACAATCGATTAGAAAAATAAAGTACCAATCAATCAAAAGCTGAAAGAAAATTAACAGAAAAATAAAAGTAAATTTATTTATTATTTGGGCTCAGAAGAAGCAAAAAAATATTTGGGCTCCAAAGAAGCAAAAAATATATTTGGGCCTACAGAAATGGACCGGATGGTACAATAAGGAGGCAAACCGGGTCAAGTATATACAAACCAACATCCACTCTCATCCACACACTCTCTCAAAAGATTGCACTGATCAGCTTCTGTTCTGCACTCTCTCTCACTCTCCCCCACTCATGGCTCTAACCATAGCCAACAGTGGAGCTACTGGTGGAGCTAGGCTCCTGTACAGCAGCTCCGCCAGACACCCCTACACCAATCTCTCCTCTCAACGCCACTTCCTCTTCCCTCTCTCCCCCAGAAGGACCCTCCACGTGGTGTCAGCCAAGAGGTTCACGTCCAGAACTGGGAGGTCCGATGGCAAGAACAAGAGAGGCACCACAACCACCAGAGACCAAGAACAAGACCCACTGCGCCTAGAACGGACGGCTGAGATTGAAAACATTGATGGTGGTGTTTCTGTTGACAATGTTGATGATGGGTATTTCTTGCCTAAGCTTCCGGGTGACGAACCTGACTTCTGGGAAGGTGAAAAATGGGACTTTCTTGGCTTCTTTGTTGAGTACTTGTGGGCTTTTGGTATTGGGTTTGCGGTAGGTCTCTACTCTCTCCCACTCTAGTTAAATTTTGGTCTCTTAATTTGTTGATTTTTGTGTCTCTGCTGTTACGAGTATATGATCACTAGGGCTTTGCTCAATTATAGTTTAATTCAGTTGTAGCTGAAATCCTGCTCAAAGAATGATTAATTTCCACATTTTGTTATGATTTTGCTTCTATACCAGAGTGTTTTCTGGTGATTGTTGGAGAAATGCTCTCCTTCACAAGCAAGGGCCAATGCAACTGTGATTTCAAGACATGCCCTTTTTGATTCTAGCTTTTAACCTTCATGTCTGAAACCCCACACTGCTGATTTGAATGATGTTCATAGATTCCTTAACTAGCCAAAAAGCTACCTGCTGGAACTGGTTATATGATGAAAACCTGAAGAAGAAATTCAGGGAGTTCTATTTGGTTATACTTTTTGTTTATGCAAAGGTTGAGATTAGAAGTTTAATAACAGTTGAGTGAATCTTTTTCCTGAACAAAATTTAGCTCATAAGGGAATACCCCCCTACTTTTGCTTCCACTAACCACCCCTCAAGGCTAATGCTGTTCTATTTTGCTGTGTGTGTGCAGCTTATTGCTTGTTTCGTTGCAGCTACTTCTTACAACGAAGGAGCAACTGATTTCAAGGAGACTCCTGTGTACAAAGATTCATTCCAGTCTCGGGAGTTTTTGGAAGAACCGGAGGCAACTAACCCAGATGTCTTCGAATCCAACCCAACTGAAGTGGCTCCTAGTTTGGAATAGTCTCTGTCATGAAAAAGACATTTACATCTGATACATGATACACTCCTAGGCAAAGAAACTCTCTGTCAAACTTAATATCTCAATTTGTAAGGTGACGTTCCATATGTAAAACTTCGTTTCTGAATTGTATTTCCCCCCACTATCTTATGTGGTGTTGATCAGAAAGGCTAAGCTAAAGAGATGCAAATGAAGGACATAATTTGACAGTAAAACACTGTTCTTATTCAAATCAATTGAAGTTCCGGTAAACATTTAAACAAAACCATAGTGACATATAATCTCGAGCTGGTTCTAATTAAAAATAAAATAAGAACTCTAAACACACGATAAAAACCCATCCACAGAAAATAGAATCCCGTATGCTCGTATGATCATACTGAAAATAGAACTCCCGTCACTAGGAAACCTCCCATAGCCAGCGCCGCCGCCTTGAGGTAACTGCCCATCTTCAATTTGGTGCCAGCACTTGAAGTTCTGCCAAATCCTAACCCCATCATGCTGGGTCTTGGTGCATTTTGAGGCATTGGAGAGGCTGAAACCCAAAGAAATAGAGAATCATAATAAACCCAAGAATTCACGCCTTGAATAGGATTTTTCAATTTACTTTTTTCTTAATCAAAGGAATGAACCTACAAGGAATAGTAAAATGACTAACCTAATTGATGGGTTCTTACTATTTTCTGATAGTTAATTTTTTTTTGGGACACCATTACATACATTAGAAGGATTATACACAAATGTAACAGATGGATGTATTTGCATACCAGCAATTGTAGAGTTAATAGCAGTTGAGTTGGTGTTTGTCCCAAAGGAAACTTGAGAACTAGGTGTGCTAGGAGGCACATGTACCCCTGCAGCAAAACCACACACAAAAAAAGAAGAAGATTAAAACAATGCATAAACATGAAACTGTTTGAAGTTATTCTACTTAACAGAGTTGAAACCAGAATTATCACAGAACCCTCTTGTTTTTAATTTTTTTTTATTTTCCGAAGTCAGAAGTTACCTGAACAAGCAGAGATGTCAACTTGAAGGCTGCAGAGAGCGGGCAGCTGAAGAGCACGTGTGGTGTTGATAGGGAAGGAGCTCAAAGTAGTGTCATTGAGCAAAAGGCAAAGGCAGTCTGGCTGCTGGCTATAGAGCAGCTTGAGGTTGTCACAACATGATTGTGCCGGAGATTGGGAAGTGCCTTGCACAAACGATGCACACGAGGCCAGTGGAAGAAGCCGTGTGGTGCATTGAGCAATGGTAGGGCTTGAGGAGCTGGGGTCTTGTGAAAGGATGGATGGTAGAAGGGAAATGAGAAAGAGTAGCAGAGTCAGAGAGGAAAGGGCAAAAGGATGTTGAAGCAGGGAGCTGTTAAGAGAAGCCATGTTATGTCCTTATGTAGAATAATAATTTGAGATTACCATTTACCAAGGTGTAAATATATGAAATGTTCATGTTTTCAGTGTGAGTTTCATGTATATATGGTGTGTGTGTGTGTGTGTGTTATTGTGCATGCATGCAATTTTTGCTCTCTTTTCCAAAAATATGTAAACAGATGAATGTGCTGCATGATTTGAGTGTCAGTTGCTACACGCATGGTGTGTGTTGTTCTGCTTGAACTTCTTGCTCTATTTTCCAACTTTACCAGTCCAAATGACATACAAAACAAACTTGATTGTTCTTCTTCTTCCTAACAATTAAAACTATTCAAACTAACTAAGAGATTCGTACTTGCGAAAGGCCAATTTTCAAGAGATATTGGTCATGATCTGCTGATATTCGAGTTTCTAAAATGATGTGAATTAACTTCTCCTCGTTTAACCATCTAACCCAAATAAGGTATCAAGTAATCTTTAAGGTTAAAACCTCAACAAATCAAACAGAAAAACAATTTACGAAATTAATATGATTGATCAATGTTCCAATTGCTACCTGTAAGTCCTTGCATTATTATGGCCACGGAAAGATGATAAATTTAAACTAATGCAACTAGGAGTTTCCTTTATTAATATGATTGATCAATGTTATAATTTTCGTTTATTGATAAGAGTAGTTTACAACATTATCCATTATTATCCGAGTCTCTATTGATTTTTTGTGAAATTGCCACACCAAAAAGAAAGGAAAAAAACAGAGCTCTCATATTGATTTACTATGGAAATTCTCTCTTCAATATCTTCTTTGGATATGTTGAAACTAGCAAATTAATATATATATATATATAAAGTATAAACTAATGCAACTAGGAGAGTCCCCTTTTACTAATTTTTTTAATATTAAATCGTATAGCCGACCGGCTATACTGCGTTAAAAAAAACAAGTGTAGCCGATCGGCTATACTTGTTATGACACGTGAATGGCCGGTCCTTTTTATATTTTTTATAAATCGTATAGCCGAGCGTCCATATGCTTTTTTATTTTTTTAAAAAAATAGTAGAGCCGACTGGCTATACCTATTTTGACACGTGGGCGCGTAATCTCTAGGCGGGTCCTCCCTTTAAAAAATATATAGTATAGCCGCACGGCTATACTGTTATGATTTCACTGTCTAGCCGCTCGGCTATACTTATTTTGACACCTTATAGCCGCGCGGCGAAACTCGGTTTTTTAAATACTTTTAAAAATGGTATAGCCGTTCGGCTATATGCGGTTTTATTAATTTTTCTTGGAAATAGTATAGCCGCTCGGCTAGACTCGATTTTTTTTTTCTTCTGTATTTAAAAGAAAAATAGTATTGCCGCTTTGAGAGAGAGAGAGAGAGAGAGAGAGAGAGATATATATATATATATATTGGGATCCATTTTTTTAAATAAATTTTTCCCCAATTTTCGTTTATCTATAATTGTAGTTTAGAACATTATTCATGGGATCCATTTTTTTAAATAAATTTTTCCCCAATTTTCGTTTATCTATAATTGTAGTTTAGAACATTATTCATTACTATTAGGCAATTACTCGAGTCTCTGTTGATTTACTGTGAAATTTTCACACCAAAAAGAAAGAAAAAATTGAACTCTCAAATTGATTTATTATGAAATTTCTCTCTCTTCAATATCTGCTTTGGATATGTTGAAACTAGCAAATTAATTGTTGATTTTTACAAGGCATTGTAAACAAGTCTGAGTTTCTCGTTCACCTTCTCCATGTAAATTAAATGCTCACTGGCCATAACTTCAAGTTCCCTGCATACCATTGTACTACGATTTCATTGTCCATTAATTCTTTGTACGTCCGTTTTTCAATAAGAAACAGAAGGAAAGAGAAAAAGTGCAAGAAGTTTTCTTTTTTAACCCATCAATGGGGACTGACCATTTTTGTCAACCTAAGTATCAAGAATGCATACGTTATGTATCCCATCTCGCAGTCCTAAAAGCTTTTACAGCTCAAAATCATATAGATCAGATTTCTCAATCAAAATGGTCGTATTCATTTGAAAAATCAACCCCTTCCAACTCTGTTAGTTAGTAGGTGGAACTGAAGTGAAGTAACTTCAATGAACGTGGTTTGTAATATACACACATACACACATTCTCCTGTAACGGTTTATGGTTTATCATTGCTGAGCTTCTAAGATACACACAGCAAAGCCATGTCTCTGACTTTTTGGGTTAAGAAGAAGTTTGCTCCACTAAAAACTCACAAGGGCAGTAATAGGCGGTTACTTCCTCGAACCAGCTCTGCTTCTGCTACAACCTTAGAGGTGCCTCTGGTTGGTTCCCTCTGTCTTACTATTTTCAAACACATTATGGATAGTTTATGGATGTCGGTATGTAGTTCGTGCTTGATTATAATTTTATTGAGCAGATTCCGGGAGTGGTTATAGCTGCTGATTTAGGATGGGGCAAGTGCCAAAGTGGACTTCCCAGGTGATTTCAGATGTTGATGGTAAGAGTTCTTTAAAGCCTTCTATGGAGCCATTACTCGGTTGAAGTTCCTGGTTATGTAACATCCATCATATGTGAGAATGATAATTTATGGAAGCTTATTGCGGGTACCAAACTTTCAATTATACATGACCAATTACGTATAATTTGTTGATGTGGGTTCTGCATTTCTGCAGATGTGGAGTCCATGGTGGTACATCTTCTAGATAAGAAGGTAATGCTCACTCGTAAATCAGTCCATAAAGGATCTCTAAGAAATGTGTCTGCCTTCTGTAGAAAACTGTCTCACAAAGCTTCAAGGATTGCAAGATTTTCTAACCGATTGCTCTTGAAAATCCTTTTTATAATGAATTCATCCATGTAAAAATGCCTGAGTTTTTATGTTTTCTTTGTGTGTATAATATAAGTAAATCCTCAAGCCATGATCACTAAGCTTACAGTTATTTTGTACTATAATAATAGATGTGGTTCATAGTTCCTGCTGCAAGCAGCCTAGAAACTTTTAATCATATGTCTAAGTTCCTGTACATTGAATAAAGCAGATATTGGTTGTCTTATAAAACAAGTAATTGGCAGACTAGTTTATATATCATTAATCACTCGATTGCAGACAGATATGCAGACCAGAGAAATAAAAAAAGAGAAAAGAGAGAATTTTGGAATCCCAAAAAGAAATTCCTAATATTGGAGTCAAATAAACTTTGCATTTCACCCAGATTAAGGCATTAATTGCCAGTTGGAAAAGGTGTTGAGAAAAAGTGATGCCTTTGTGTCGGCATAGGCCCCTCTGGAAGCAAGAAAGTGATGCTCTAGTTAGCTTAGTGCATTTGAGGAACACAAAAGAATGCAAAGAAGTCAAGAATAATGAGAAAAACTAACCACATTGCCAACCTATACATATATATCTTTGCATGGGAAGAATCAGATTCCAAGATGAACAGAACTCCATGAATCAACGGAATTATATATAACCAGCTCATGATACTCGATCGATCCTTTTTCGCTTTCTATATTATTCCATTGCATTATTGGCATTTAATATCAACCTTCTGTTGTTGTCCATTCGACCAATTTTGGATTCTGAAGCAACAATTGCAATACATCTCTCTCTGATCACCATTTCATGACAGACAAGGTATGCTCAAATTGAATTACAATGTCCAATATTATTTCAGTCTCTGATATCTGCATGATCTGATACAAATATTTGATCATGTTCAGTTCTGCTACATGCTGATGAGAATCAATATTGACTGCAATGGTTGCTACAGAAAAGTAAGGAGAGCTCTTCTTGATATGCGAGGTGTGATAGAAGTATCTTAATTTTCTCGTACACAAGTATATATATGTTGTTTCTTAACTAATGATTATATAAATACGCATGTGTAGAGTTGGAGACGCATTTGATAGAGAAGAAGGAGTGCAGGGTGAGCGTGTTCGGCAGATTTATCCCACAGGACGTAGCGATCAAGATAAGGAAGAAGACAAATCGCAGAGTTGAGATACTGGACATACAAGAACTTAGCAGCAACAATAGTAACACCAATGATGAAGAAAACCAAGATTAGCAGCAGACGCCTTTGATCACTTCTTGGAATAATCCCGTATCGCATCCCAACCAAGTTGAAACCACTTGTATGCATGTGTGATGTAAAACTTTTTCTTAAATTTTAGCAAGATTTTCGCTTCAAGTTTAAGTGCATATGGAAGTGGGACTTTTTTTAATACTGAGTTCCCATACGTGCTAATAATTCAAAGGAGTCGGCTGTGTGCACATGATGACGATTTAATTATGAAGCCATAAAAACAGAAATTATGGAGGGCAGAGAGAAGCCTGCAGATGGTGCAAACTGGTTGGTCAAGTTGATTGTCAGTCATATTGCCAAGAAAATAGGCAAGCCAACCATGTTAGAGACGGACTGATCTGGCTGTTGTTGGTTTCTTTTGTTTTTTCTAATTTTAAATACAAGCAATATTAGAGAAAAATAATTTAAACACAGAATCTCGAACATAGCGTTAATCACTCCAACTATAAGAGCTATTCCAGCGGAGGAGCCCAGCCCGAGGTTAGGGGGGGGGGGGGGGGGTGTTTGTTCGGCGGGCCAACTCAGGCTGCCCCGAAGGTAGCTTCAGCCCGAGGTCCAAAACGAGGGCTGCTGACGTCAGCGCTACAGTATCACTACAGTATGCCAGCTACAATACCCATTGATTTGATTTTTTTTCCTTGTTGCCACGTGGCATCGTCTGGGCTCTCCGATCTGATTTTTTCCTCCAATCCAATGGCAGCCAATTTTTTTTGCAATAAAATACTGAAAAAAATACCCAAAAATTAATGATTTTTTTTTTCTATAAATACCAGCCAATTTTTTTTAAAATTTATTTGAAATTTGAAATTGAAAATTTTATCCGATTATGAGATATGAATAGTATTGACACGTAGAAACCTTAAAATCTAATCCGAAAATATTATCCAAATTAATTATTGTGGTAAAAAAAGTTGTGAAAAAAAAAAAAAATGAATAGTAATTGTCATTTGTCATGGCAACGGGTGGAAACGGAAAATACTATTTGCAAGGACAACTACTATTTACGTGAATAGTGGCTGTCATAACTCCCCCTTACTATAACTAAGGGCAAATGAGTAGAGTTGTTCTAAGCCTCGCATGATTTGATTGTTTATGAACAACAAAAACACTCTCTTTTTACACACAGCTTTTCTTTTTTATTAAATTTGAGTGGCGTACAATTAAAATTTTCAATTATAAAAAGAAAAAAAAAAGTAAAAAAAAAAAAAAGAAAAAGATCTCCCAGTTCTACATCATTACGCAACTCTTCCCAATGATAAAGGTAGCGTTTGGTATTGCTTAAATTTTAAAAAAAGCGCCTTTAATAAAAATTTTGCAACACTATGTCGTTTGGTAAACATCAAGAAGCAGCTTTTTAAAAAAATTGCGGTCAATGACCGCTGTTTTTTCAAAGCAGCAAAACCCAGCTTTTAAAAGCTGCTTTTAAAAAAATTTAACCGGTGGTTTTAATGAAATTTTGACTTTCCCATAATGCCCTCATTTATTTTTCAAATAGACAATCCTTATCCCTCCAATACACATCGAGGGATGCAAACTCCTCGTCTTCTCCATTCTGCAAACTCTCCTTTTCTTCTTCATTCTGTTCGTTCGCAACCCTCCCTCTTTCTATTCGTTCTAACTCACATCCCTTTTTCTTTCGTCGTCTGCAACAAACCCCACCCAAGCGCTAACCACAACCACAACCTCCGACCATGGGCTGTAGACGACGGCGATGACAGACGAACACCGATGGCCGCT